CAGTCGTCTATATGAGCAACGTCGCCGTAGATTGACTAGTGGCGGTGAATTCGAATATCTCAACACTCCCCCTCGAATGGAGTGCCGATTTATGCGCAATTAGCCGTCGACTGGATTCCTAGCAATTTCATACAGTGGTAGTGTTTTTCCCTGGGTAGTCCTTTGGTTAGGATATCGGCAGGCATATCCTCCGTAGGCATGTGGACCAACTCGATGTGGCCTTCCTTTAGGACATCCCTCACAAAATGATGTCTGACATCTATATGTTTTGATCTCGCATGAAATGTGTGGTTCTTTGTTAGACACAGGGCTCCCAGATTATCACACGCGATTACAGTCTTATGAGGGTCTCGAAAACCTACTTCTGTTATGAATCTGCGAAGATATAAAGCTTCTTTCGCGGCTTCTGATAAACCTATATACTCTGCCGCGGTTGACGATAGAGCAACTGTACGTTGTTTTTGGGATTCCCAACTTACGGCTGCGCCACTTAAAATAAATGCCAGTCCCGTATATGGTTTCCTATCCACAGAACATGCCCCCCAATCCGCATCTACGAAACCGTGCAAACATTTGGAGTCCTTTTTATACACGATACCAAAATCCATGGTTTCCTTAAGGTATCGAAGGACTCTTTTGGCTGCTTTCCAGTGCTGCATTTCATGGCAGGAGCAAAACTGGCTAAGATAGCTGACAATATAAGATATATCAGGTCTCGTTGCAACGGCCAAATAATTCAATCCTCCGATTAATTCCCGATATCGTTTTTCTTGAGACTCTTCGTTGGGTCCTTCCTCAGATTTTAATAATTTTTCACCTTGTGCAACTGGAGTGGAGATGGGTTTTGACTCCTCCATTCCAAATCTACGTATGAGATCGCGAACGTATCCGAACTGAGACATCGTGATTTTATAGGTCTCTCTGGATACTTCTATTCCGAGACAAAGACTAATTTCTCCTATGTCCTTGACCTCGAAATCCTGTAAAAGTTGTTCCCGTATGGAATCTAAATCTTTTTCATTGCGGTAAGCTATTAATATATCATCTACGTAGATGAGCACGAGAAAAATATCTCCCTCTCTCACAGTAAAATAAACGCAAGGATCTGCGACGGTCGGCTTCAATCCCATGCTTCGTAGCTTCTGACCAAACCTTTCGTTCCAGCGATTCCCAGCTTGTTTCAAACCATAAAGGGCCCTTTGTAAACGACAAACCTGATCGCCTTCTTTAAGTCTCCTGAGCATTTTCCTTGCTCTGTTCCCAACCAGGTCACGATCCCCTCTTCGATTAACGATTGTGCTCAACGATTCCGTGAATGATTCAGGTAATTCCATGTAGATCTCTTCCTCGATGGTCCCGTTTAAGTATGCAGTCGTAATGTCCATTTGATAAACTTTCAAATCAAATTTTTCTGCCAGGGCAAGCAATAAGCGTACCGAACTCAGACGTGTGACTGGTGTGAACGTGTTATGGTAATCGATTTCTGGTTTCTGTGTAAATCCCTTGGCAACAACTCTTGCTTTTCGTCTCTCAATTGCTCCTTGGGCGTTGTACTTATTTCTCAAAACTGTTCGGCATCCGACCACGTTTCGATCTTTAGGACGATCAGTAATATACCATGTATCGTGCCGTATTAGGCTGTCGATTTCTTCCACGATTGCATTTTTCCATTCTTCCGCATCTGGTCCGTTTAGAGCTTGTTTCCATGTAATTTCAGCTAAATTTGCGAAATCTTCTTCCTGTTCCAGATCTTCAGATTGATCTTCTGGGTCAGTAACTGGATTAACAATTTCCTCGTTCAAATCTCGCACATCATTTCTGCTTTCCCTCGTCGAAGGTTGCTTCCTGGGACAACCAGGTTGTCCGGTATAAATTTTTCTTGGTCTCCCTGGTCCTCTTCTTATAGCTTCCTTCTCATGTGGGCTATTAACTTCTTCAAGTTTACGGTGTGGGTTATCCTTGGGCACTTCCTCCCGATTCTCTTCCGGTTCAAGATCAATGTGAAATTCAGTGCTCATGGGTTTGTCCACATTATTCTGAGAGTTTTGCTTGTTCCGATTATGTTTTCTTTCATTCATACTCGGAGAATTATGAGGCATTTCGTCCAGTTTGAAAATATTCATGAATTTTACGTCTCGTGAAATGATTACTTTTTGTTCACTTGGTACCCATAGTCGGTAACCCTTCGATGAGTCATATTATCCAATAAATATACATATTATTCCTCGTGCGTCGAGTTTCCCTTTTCCAGGTGTTTTGTCCAGTGCGAAGACTGTTTCTCCAAAAATTCTTATATGATTCACGTGAGCATGTTTTCCGTACCACAACTCGAACGGTGTCCTTCCATTAAGTACCGCCGTAATGCAACGGTTTCTAATGTGGTTCGAGGTTGCGATTGCCTCGGCCCAAAAAGATGGAGACAATCCGGATTGTGTTAACAGACACCGTGCCATTTCAACAAGTGTGCGGTTTTTCCTCTCCGCAACACCATTTAGCTGAGGAGTATACGGTGTCGTTAGTCGTCTAGTTATTCCTTCGTCCCTTAGAAAGTCATTAAACCGTTTGTTTCGAAATTCTCCTCCGTTATCGGACTGGAGGCTCTTCATTTTCTTTCCGGTTTGTCTTTCAACAAGATTTTTGAAGTCCTTAAATGCCTGAAACACTTCGTCCTTACGTCGCAAAAACCTCACTTCTGTCCACCGAGAGTGATCGTCTATAAAAGTTGCAAAATACCTAGCTTTTCCTTTCGATTCTGGTCGAATAGGTCCACAGAGGTCAGCATGAATAATCTCCAGTACATCTGAAGATCTTTGAAACTTTCCCTCAAATGGTATTCGTGTAGCTTGGCTTTGACACAAGTTTCGCATGAAGATGACGTCTTGTCGCTTCCCGACTGTAGGTCCAGTACAGCCGTCATTCGCTCCATTTCCACGAGGTCATCTCGATTGAGATGGCCAAATCTTTCATGCCAGACTGTCATTGGCAATTTCCGCTCTTCCTTGAGTGTTACGCATGCTCCTCGGCTTCCCGGAGGTAATACAGATTGCCTATTCTTTCAGCGGTTAGTATGCTAGTTCCGTATTGGTTTTCGATTCTAGCACCCTCTCTTGTGAATATGGCCTTGTTATTCGCATCTGTAATCGTTGTAACAGAAAGTAAATTTCCTCGATGTTCAGGAACATGTAGTACATTCTCTAGTTGAACATTCCTCGCGACTCTTCCATCAGTTCCAATGATTCTTATGCTTCCTTTTGCCTTGACTTCAGTGGAAGCATCACTCGCCAAGTTCAGCTTGGTACTCTTCGTATTCGCAAGTTCCTCGAAACGTTCTTCGCTACGACATAAATGTGTCGTACATCCACTGTCAAGACACCATTTGTCGCGATTCTGGATGAGCTCCGCGCGATATGACACATCATCTGATGTTGACACGAGAAAGGTTTTTCGCGACGGAGACATTTTCCTGTTTTTCGTTACAGTCAACGGCCTTGTGTCCTACCTTGCGACATCTATGGCATTTATACTTGAAGTATCTGTAGTCCCGTTCGGCATTTTCCTTATTAGCCATCCTGCCTTCTACCTTTTCCTTGCCTAGCTTCTTCCACACTTTCTTGGCCAACATGGCTTCGTGATCGTTATCCTGATGTCGTCCTTTTCTCGTTCTGTCTTCGTCGAGAATTTTTACCTTTAATGTTTCAGGATCGGGCAGCTCGTCCCTCGTTTCGATGGCGCAGCGAAAATTCTCGAAACTTTCTGGTAGACTATGCAACAACATAATGGATTGTAGTTCCTTGCTTACCTCGATCGAGAGTTCCGATAGTTTGTTGACCATGTCGAAAAAACTATCCACATGATGCTGCACGTCGCCATATTCTCCGAGTCGATGGGATGATAACTGTTTCCATAGCGACGCTTTCCTAGTTGGTCCTTTTGATTCAAAAATTCTCTCTAATTTTAACCAAATTTCCCTAGCAGTCTCACAATTTTTAATTTGCTTGAGTTCGCTGTCGTTAACAGACAGGTACAAGTCTGCCTTCGCCTTGTCGTCTTCTTCTTTCCAAATTTCCAACTTTGCGACTTGTTCCGAGCTTCCGTCTGTTTCCGGCATCGGTTTCTTGCCGTGAACGTATACCCACGTCTTATTTTTGGTCATTACCGCCTGTACTCGAAGCTTCCATGTATCATAATTTTCTGCTGACAACATGGGGATGCGTATATGAGATCCCATGTTCGAGCCCATGATTTCTTTGGTCTTACGTTTCTTTGTCCTGTCACTGAGGGACCACGTACAACGTTTCACAGTATTTCACAACGCGCAGTGGAATGCGTGCCCTGGGCCCATAACCTGTTAGATTATGATCTGGCAGGAAACAGCGTTTTTAATAATTAAATACATAACACGTTAATATACAAGGAAAGTCCTTTTTCTATTCAGGAAGGAAAGAACGCGCCATGAGCGCGGAACGCTTCAAAAGTAAGTGAACATCAATGGCGATCATCTTCAAAGCGCTCCAGTCGTCTAGATGAGCAACGCCGCTGTAGATTGACTAGTGGCGGTGGATTCGAATATCTCAACAGGGGCCCTATTCTCGAAACTGTGACCCTAGATGTCGAATGCGAGAAACCTAGATGTCGCATGCGAGAACAAAAACGATATTCTTGAGTCCATCTCGCGTACGACAATGAAGTCGTATACGAGAATTTTCGAACGTTTCATCTCGAGTGGGTCCTACCCACTCGAAGCTGGAAATCGCATATGAGAATTCTAGGGACAAGCATACTTTTCCTTTAAACTGAGGTTTGTGACATGGTGGTTAGGAGAGCGCAGTTGTCAAGAAAAAAATGGTAAGGAAATAAAAAGTGTAATTACACAAATTTCTGGTGAAGTTTTACTGAACATAGGTTAATAGATTGTAACAATGATTTAGTTGTTCGAAATTAGCACAAAATTGTAAATCGAATATTAACTTTCTATTAATTTAATTAAATTTATAGCAATAATGGATCCGCAAAATATAGTAGCACAACTTCATATCGCTGCGCAATTGGAAAACGCTTATGATTTCGGTGGCGGACTACGTTTTCAAGAACGGGATGATGCATTCGACTTGCCAGAATGTCAGTTCGTTAAACTATTCAGGTTGAAAAAAGAAACGGCAGAACGAGTAATTAATATTGTAGAAGAAAATTCTACAGAACCGTCACGTTCTTCAGCTTTGGACGCAACTGTACAAGTGAGTTTAGATAATACGTAAAAGTTTATTTAGATAATTTAGATGATACCTAAATACATATATTTTGTTCTTAATAAAACGTTATTCTTCTGAAGGTTTTAACNTTAATAAAACGTTATTCTTCTGAAGGTTTTAACTGCATTACGGTTTTTTGCATCCGGAAGTTATCAAAATTGCATCGGAAGCAATGTTAATATGGCAATAAGTCAACCCTCCGTCAGTAGATGCATTCACAATGTAACAAATATTCTGAATTTGCCACAAATTTTCGACAGTTGGATACATTTCCCAAGGAACATATGGGAGGCAGAACAGTTGCGTAACAGGTGAGGGAGAACTTAACTTATATTTTGTATAGTAATATCTATACATATTCTGCTACATTTAGTTTACTTTTTCAGATTTTGGGTGGAACACCGCTTTCCTGGAGTAATTGGTTGCATAGATTGTACACATGTAACGATTTTCCCACCTTCAAAAGATGACTAACAATTTCCGGAACATATTTACGTTAATAGAAAAGGATATCACTCGATTAACGTCCAGTTGGTGAGAAAATAAAATTATAAAATTAAACCAGACATTTATGTAGATAATGCTATTAAAATATAATTTGCAGATATGTGATCCAGATCTGAAAATAATAAATGTAAATGCCCGATATTCTGGAAGCACTCATGATTCTTATATTTGGAACAACAGTAATGTTCTCCCTGTAATGCAAGAAATGTACAATCGGGGACAGCTTCTTCTTGTTAGGTAATATTTCGAAATTTGTTATTGTTTCTTTCAAATAGTTCAAGCTGTAGTTAAAGCATTGTATTGCGATAAAGCGCTTATTGCTGTTAAAATACTCAATACTCAACTGCATTGTGGTTACCCAACATTTTTCTAAGTGTAACTTAATCAAATATCTTAACACGCCACGGCCCGACGATTTCAAACTAAAACCAGCCCGTACATCAACGCTCGACCACAACATTACAGACCGGTCACGAATATATTTACGATGGTCAGTAACGTTCGAGCACCAAAGTACGATTATACGCGAAACTGGTCCATAAAGTGACAATATCCCCGAAGTAATACTTGGAGATGTTCTGAGAGAAATGTTTATGATGTTAATTTGTTTTATTTATAGGTGACTCCGGTTATGCACTAAGACCGTGGTTGATGACTCCGGTTGGAGGCGATGAAGACGATGTGGCAGTACAGAGATACAACTCCAGGCAAAGATGTACAAGATCACTTATTGAACGATGCAACGGACTTTGGAAGATGAGATTTCATTGCTTGTTGAAGCACAGAGTACTGTATTACCAGCCAGACGTGTGCTCGAGGATCATTAATGCATGCGCAGTGTTGCACAACATGTGTATTCAGGACAACTGTAGACTTGACCCAGAAGAGGAAGAGGAAGAGTTAGACTTCGGCATGTTTGATAATGCGATAAATGAAGCGCAAAACATTCCAATTAGAAATGTTGAGTTAGATGCTGGACGAAGAATTCGTGATAATTTAATAAGACGCTATTTTATTGCGTTGTTACGTCCCACGTAACGTCACCCCTCCAACTACATATATTAATTCAGTTAAGCGCCGTAATTATTACTTTTCCCAAATATTATGTTATTAATATCGTGTAATATCATCCTCGCTCGACTGTCAATTTTCTAGCGATCACGTGTTAGCAACGTGCTCAAAATAGGTAACCGTCACCATGCGAAAGGTGATAATAACGAGAATCCCTTGTTCATAATCCTCTATGACAACGATGGCCCGGACCAGTGGTAGCCCAACTTAGGGCTTCGAACTTACATTGTTAACACAAGTAAGAAAACTTATAGAAATGGATAATGTTAAGTTGAGGGCAGTGTCCTCCCTCTACTAAAATTTTGAAACAATGCAGTTTAGGAACCGTATAAAAAGGGACGCACCTATGCACCTTCGTTCTTAGTCTTCGGTCAGTCTTCAGTCTTAGTTTTGTCTCAGTTTTCGCTTAGTTTTTCGCTCAGTTTCAGTCTCGCTTAGACAACGAGCATTTCGCAAGGTTCCAGTTTTTACAAGTACGAGCGAGGAAGAAAACCAATCTTCTTGTTATTCAAGGTACTATATTTTTTCTATGTTCTAATAAATCAACCATTCACATTTATATGAATTTTCTTTCTTTTCTCTCCCTTTTGAAAGGAGAAACAACAACTATATCCAATTCCTACCATTCCTTTGATACATGAGGGCGCGGGGCTTGGTCTAGCTTCCTCTCTATATCTAAGTCCTACTATTCCTTTGATACAAGAGGGCGCGGGGCTTGGTCTAGCTTCCCCTCTAAATCTAACTCCTACTATTCCTTTGATACAAGAGGGCGCGGAGCTTGGTCTAGCTTCCCCTTTATATCTAAGTCCTACTATCCTTTTGATATAAGAGGGCGCGGGGCTTGGTCTAGCTTCCCCTCTATATCTAAGTCCTACTATCCTTTTGATATAAGAGGGCGCGGGGCTTGGTCTAGCTTCCCCTCTATATCTAATTCCTACCATTCCTTTGATACAAGAGGGCGCGGGGCTTGGTTTAGCTTCCCCTCGATATCTAACTCTTAATATCCGAATTGACATTCCCGAATCTAGCGACTATAACGCCCAGGCGTTGATACCAGGGGACCCCAGAAACTCCAAGCCATTTGTTATAACCCTAGAATAAAATAAAAATCAACTTTATCTACTTCGTAAAATAATCAATTTATTTCTTCCCTCCCAGACGTAACAGCGTAACGCTTTTTTCATTTAATTCAAAATAAATATCTTTATACATACTATGAATGCGTTGGAAACTCGATATTATTGTTCCTTACCTTGATATCTATCTAGAGGTAGAATGGAATTGCATTAAAACGTATCTAGATTCCGCAGCAAGGGTTTTTTTTTATTAGGTATGAAGCAAAACGAAACTAGAAAACCCTGGGTAACAAACGAGACTGCAGGACTAATAGAAGAAAGACGAAAAGATAAGAACAGGATACAAAAGAATCATATGAATAAATGAAAAACACGCATAGATGCAGAAGGGCAAAAAAGGTATAATGCGATAAAGAGGAAAATCATTCGGAAGTTCAGGGCAGCTAAGAAACAATGGATTGATAATAGGTCTTTTATTAAGAAACTAAAGAAACAGCGTTTATCGTAACTTCCCTACAGAAGAAACGTAAACAAAAAATTAAATAATAATTGTAATTTATACTTAAGCATAATGATTTTTGGTACAAATATTGCACCTCAGTCTTCTTCCTAATTGCAGTCTATAGGAATCTTTTTGACGTTATCGTTACTTACATTCATAAAGCTTATCCTATGTATTGCTTTTTTCCATCAATAATTGTTCTAATAATACGGTAATTTTTTCCTTTGCTATCACGTTTCTTTGCTTAAGCTCTAATTCAATTTTATATAGTTTAAGTTTTTCTTCGTAATAATTTTTGTTTACATCGTATTGTTGTTGAGAAATTGCAGCTAATTTCTCCGTTTGGTTTATCGATTTTTCAAATCTTTTTGCCGCATTTGTTTTCGGGATAAATTTTGTCTTATTTCTTGCCGGAATTTTTAGTGAGGTATTATAAGTTGTCGGGAGCTCTTCTGTCATGACTGTTTCTGTATTTATCTGTTTTTTGTAATTGTTATTGACATCTTGGTTTTCCTTATTTTGTTCGACATGTAGTACGCTGGCATTTATATACTCATCCAGGTATACAGTTTCGTAATTTTCAGAGTCATCACCCCAGTCCTGTCAAGAAAACGACATCGATAAGAACAAATCCAAGGGAGTGAATCACTTTTAATAAAAAATGGAAATTGTGTGATTTTTTATCAGACGTTGCTGTTATTCCCAAGAAAGGAATTTAATTTCACATTTAATCCTATATTTCCTGCACTATATTTTCTTTAAAAAGTTATAGTAAAACATGAGAACGATTGCTTACAAAGTTTCCGGTGGATTCCTTAACGGTTTGGTGACCTTCCGCAGCCGTTGTACCTATTAACGTTAAAACACGTTCTTCAAATTGTGATAATGTTTGGCCAGAAGGTCCACCGCCAGTTCCTTGCGTGTACTTTTTAATCGCTGCACTTTTCCCTTTCGTTGAAGTTCGGATATCTTGCCAAGTCTGTAAAGTTTCGCACCAAATACATGTGTTTTATCGGATGAAGACACTATTGATAATTTGAAATAGTATTTGCTAATCTATGCATTGAAAAAAAGTATTCATCCTCCTGCAAGGATTCAGAATTTTTCTCTTGTGTACAAATTCCTTGAGTCACCCATAGGTGTCATGCGTACGTACCTTTCTCCATTGCTTCCACTCCTTTACAACACCCGGAATCGCGTTTAACTGTTACGTCACTTCCTCCCATAGCTTTTGGGCTTGCTTGTGGGAAAAAGAGGCTGAAAACTTTCCTCTCCGTAATTCCGGGTGTTTCCCCATGAATTCTGTACTTAAAGGTTACTTAGTAAAACACTGTACTAATGCCTCAATAAGCAATGCCAGTAGTATAGGAACCACTATGGGTAGACTAAACAAATGACGTCACCGGCGCCGAGTCAGCCTGTGACGTCACGTTACGTCACGTACCCCCACTCCTCTCATTTACCATAGTGCCGAGAGTGGTGGGGGTACGCTAGAGCGCGGGCCGCGAGTGAGAGAGAGAAAGACGATCTTCCGAGAGAGAGGGATGTATAGGGTTGTAGAGGGGGGGTACGCTAGAGCGCGAGCAGTGAGTAAGAGAGAGAGAGAGAGGTGTGTATGCCTGTGACGTCGCGTCACGTCACGTACCCCCACTCCTCTCATTTACCATAGTGCCAAGGGTGGTGGAGGTACGCTAGAGCGCGAGCCTCGCTAGAGAGAGAGGCATGTACAGGGCCCGCGTATCGCTGATAGCGAGAGCGGCCATGCCAAAGAGGCACGGGCGCTGCCCATAGCGAGGGCGGCCATTACGAAATAGGAGGGGTGAGCGTACGCGAGCGTCTTATCACCTGAATGAAATTCCTTCGTAGTAAGAACGGCCATTACAAAGTAGGAGGGTCGGTCGTACGCGAGCGTCTTACGCATGAGTGAATGAAAGAGTCGGAGGCGATTTAAGACTCCGAATATCACGGCTAGCGAGAGCGGCCATTACGAGGTGGGAGGGCTACGCGAGCGTCTTATCACCCGAATGCAAAGATGGTCGACTAGCCCGATGATTTGAATTCGCGTCTCGCGCTGCAACATCTGGTGTCGAGTATGTTGCCCCATAATGCGCCACGCCCAGGTTAATTAAATCGAAATGAAGGAAATCGTATTAATAATAATTAAATTGATATTCATTTATTTTTTTTTTCAACCAAATGACAAATATTTACATAAGGGTATAGAGTTCCTCGAAAACAGTCTCGACGAAGAACGGATGTTCGCATATCTTGTGTTTCTTGAGTTCCTCGG